GAACGGCCATTTTGCCAGGACCCGTCACACGTCTCTTCGTGCTCTTCTCACTCTATCACCTTGTATCTCTATCTCTCACTCTCTCACTCTCTCACTCTTTAACTCTAACTCTACTCTATACTCTAACTCTCTTTCTCTCTCTCTCTCTCTCTTTCTTGCACATATATACAACATACACTCTCCTTCTCTGTAACGTTTTCCCTCTCCACCTCTTTCTCATTCTTTCTTTCTTTCTTTCTTTCTCTCTCTCTCTCTCTCTCTCTATCTGTCCCGCTCGTATTTTGTGAAATCGTCTGTAGCATCTATATCGCCGTCCATTAGAAATATGTGAGTAACGAGTCGTAAGTACTCACGTATTTTTCCAGGGTGTTGTATTAACGTTGGGATCCTTTAGATTCGAAAAATTCGTGTGAAAACCCGGGCGAGCACGACCATTGAAAAACCCTTCGAGATCACTTCTGCGATCGGACTAGCCGCAAGGTGGCGCCTTAAAAGATTTCGCTGGTCACGCATGCTCCTTGCCGCCGCGATGTCACGTGACACAACGACCTGCCCATTCCTTCACGATCTTTGTCGATGTTAGGCGATGATAACCGACCTTCTGTAAGGCTTACCACCCATGCTTTTTGTTCTGTTATTTGCATCTACAATATTTGTATTTATATCATATTCAGTGTATCGATAATGAAGTTTCTCATCTGGATATGTAGCGTCCGTCGGTAATGAAATTTTCGCAGCTAGCATTCTTATGCGTCGGTAATGAAGTTTCATAGCTCTTAAAATGTTTCATACGTCGATAATAAGATATCGTAAATTACAATGTTACCTACAATGAAATCACCCTCATGTTATATTTTATATATTCATTTGGTACATAAAATGTATAAGTTTGTGTAAATTTATATTCTTTTGAATTATAATTTTTATAATTTATCTTAATTTGAATTAATTTTTAACAAATAAAATAAAAGCACATATATAATACGTGTTGATAAAGATATTCTACTTTACGTTTCTTCAAAATTATATTGCATGTATCGAGTATTATAGTTTATAATATAAATCAAATAATATAGTAATATTTTAAGGTTGCATTGTTTTATATAAAATTCTAAATTCATAAGAAATTAGTTATTAAGTAACAAAAAAAAATTTTATCGATCCTGCCAGGATTCGAACCTGGAATCTTCTGATCCGTAGTCAGACGCGTTATCCGTTGCGCCACAGGACCAGGTTGCGTGGATACAATTACTTTTTTGTTTATTAAATATTTTACAAACCACCATAAGATATTTATAGTTTATTTTTATTTCGTATATATATTGTAGCAATTAAAAATTATTTTTATATTTAACAAAGTACTGAAGTTCTCTTAAAATTAGTATTCACTAAACAGCAAACTGTCCGTATAATATTATTCTACACATAAAAATGTCTAACTATTAGTGAATTATCAGCTATACTGCTATGTATGATTATACTCGTATTATATTTCATAAGCTACATTTATATATATTTGACTTAATCTACAAACGTAATTATTTTTGTTTGAATAATATACTCATTGTTGTGTTATTATCATTTAGAAACAATATCATTTAATTTTCAATATTGTCAACTGCTAATTTTATCCCCCTCTTGTTAGATACAAAATATACTCTGTTGTTAATACTTCTTCCACGAAAATTTTATATTCAAAGATGAAAAATATAACGGTGAGATTTTTATTTAAATCAATAGAAATGTAACACTTATTATTCTAGTTTCTTGTAAACAATGTAAAATATTGATAAGAACTTTATTTAAATTATAACAAAGAAGAAAAATAAAATTATTAAAATTAATTAAGAATTTTTACACGACCGTCCTGTAATTTTATATGATTAGGATTATAACGTTCTGATTTTCCTTTTTTTAAATTTCATATAATTGTTTAAATTAATATAAATTTGTTTTAACGTTTCTGTGCAGTGCTGACTTTGGAGGGGGATATTTTCATCGAAAAGAATATTATTAATAATATATTTTTGTAGGAGACGGTAAAGCGTCGTCTTATCTTTTAGATCTATCGACAAAGACGCTGGTTTGTAGCATAAGACGATAGGCATTTGTTCGATTTTAAGTAATCAAATACAACGGACGAAATAAAGGACGGTGTGGATGCGACGAATGAATGCACGAGCGACAAAGGAGAGTGAGTGTTGAGCGATGAAAGAAAGAGGGGTTCTGCGTTTTGTAATAGAGATTAAAATAAAACTGTTTTTCCCATTAAAAATCCTATATTATTTTTATGTTTTTTTATTTATTGTCAAAAATAGTGAACCTTGATTAAAAGAAAAACAATAATTCATTTTAACAGAAACTGTTATTATTTAGTCAACAAATTATGTATTTTAGGAAATTTTAAATTAAAGATTTGTTGTCTCGTAAATATTTATTTGTGTATCAAATTGAATACATATTTGAAAAAGAAAAATTTTATATCTACACATAAAATTAATTCAAGATATACAGGAAAAGATGTTCTAAAAACGTGGAATTTATTTTTTGTCTAGACATTATTTTAATTCATTTTTATTATGTTATAAGAAAACAGAAATGCATTTTTATTCATCTTCATGTAATAAAAATTGTACGAAAAAAATTGAAATTTTGTCAAGTGGCACGCTAGCATAAGTAGTATCGGAAAAGAAAAGAAAAATAATTCCCTCACAAAGAATCGAACGGTAACAACACGCGTGAGAAGCATGGAATTAGAAATTATGTATTTTAGGAATTTAAAATTTCCTAAAATACATAATTTGTTGGTTAAATAAAAATAGTTTCTGTTAAAATGAATTATTGTTTTTCTTTTAGTCAAGGTTCACTATTTTTGACAATAAATAAAAAAACGGCGTGCTATAAGCATCAAGATTCGATTTAAAAATGCCGCGCTTATACGCCGATATATATAGATATACAAAACGCTCGACACTCGATGGCCAAGACGAAAAATTCTCGCTACAGCATGAAAAAATATCATAGGTGGTATATAATACAGAACGCTCAACATTCGAGGGCCCTAACAAAAATACTCGCTATCGCCTAAACAAATAGAAAGAGAGAAATATCCATTTCTTTTCTCACTCGCACTCGCATTCACGACCGAGAGATCCCAAGATACGCACAATAGCTCGCTCACGTGTAAAAACCGACGAAGAGGCGGGGCTTGTCTCCCACTCTTAAACTCAATTTTACCAATATTTCTCGCTTATTTTTGCAAATATGAAGATACACCTTACACCATTTTTTATGTATTTTTCAATTTTGCACAACTTTTGTTTGAAATTTTTTTCGATTAAATGCCTAGATTCTGAAATATGGCTTTTTTACCCTTTTTCTTATAAATGCGCCATCCAATTGCAAAAAGATATGCACCGTTCGATTCAGCGTCGTCGAATTACCATTATATCAAGTTTTACCAAATTTAACAAATTGTCACAGTTTTCCTTTATTTGAGTGGATTAGATTGTATTGTAATCGTTTAAGAACGCGCGAATGCGAATGTATTTGCCTAATATCAAATTTCGTAAATAAATACTTATAAATATGAAATAGTCTAAGAGTTATCAGCAACGTAGTATTTTCAGATAAAGACTTCTTTCTGTCAGTGCGAGTAATGTGCTGCTGCATATCTATTTTTCATTCCAGCACGATGACTCACACCTATGGTAGGGGAAATATAAAAACCGCAGTATCTATAGGACGTCGACGTACATTGGTTGGGATGTAAGACCATTTGTACTATTCGGGCCTTACAATTTGAAAATTTATTTTTATGCAGTATACAAAGTTTTCTTGTGTATTAAATATTAAGAAAAAATATCGTAAAATTATGGGCATAATTATACATCATTTTATCAATCACATTTCAAGATTTACTTTCCTTGATGAAACATGAAAATTTAATTTGTTAGAGAATTATGTATTACATTTTCCGACATTGTAATACAAGAAGTTCGACCGCCATGACAGTTTAGACTGTTTTTGAAGTTTCATATTCCTTGTATGTGGTACATTGTAAATTTATGTATTATAATGACATAATTATTAACTCTGGTGAAAATACGTTATAAATATAAAGAAAGATGTGACTTCTTAAGTGTACGATTATTCAATATTCTGCAATAATAAATGATTTTAGCTCAAAAGGTTAAATTTATCGTTTCTGCAGCTCAAAATCAGACTGTGCACAATTTCTTCAAATTTGTATAACTACGGTAAGTAATGAAATTATAATTTATTGATAAATTATTGTTTTTAAATTATTTTCTAATTCGTAGATAAGATAAAATTCTAAATAAATTGTATATACACATATCCATGTAAAAAAGAGGGGTTGGAAAAAATCTACTTGCATTTTTTTTTAGTACTTGTTTGTAATAAATAATTTCGATTAAACCACAGTATTTTTAAATATTTTTGTCCTCTTAAATTAGAAACTACACGAAGAAAAGAAAAATAAATTACATGTATACGTTACCACATCGAATGATAACGTAGACATATAATGACATGAATTCTCTTTGTTTCTCTATTTATATATTTATATCATAGTTATAATCATACAGTTATATGTTTTTTTTATATATATAGTTATATCACTGAAGATGGCGCAATGGTTCGACAAGCAGTTTCGCACCGGTAAAGATTCAATGAAATACTTGAGAAGATCGAAACGCGCTGGTACAAACATTAAAAAAGTCAAATCATTCGATACGTCGATGGTAAAAAATAAAGAAGATTTTATGAATATAATAGGACTTGGAATGAAAGGGCCATTAAAAAAAGATGATGTAAAAGAAAATAATAATAATAATAACGTGATACTTATGAAGAAAATAAAAATAAATTCATTGACTATGTTAAATATACGGAAATGCAGTGTAGTTATTGTTGCTGAAAGGTGTCCAATCTGTAAATTACCCTTTAAATGTGTAAGTGACGTTGTATTTCACAAGATGATGCGACACGGAAATGATCCTGTTATAAGCGATAGTTATTTTCAATCTAATATTTTTACAAAGAAACAGTGTTTAAACATTCGAAGAAAAAGATCGCAAAATACTAACAACAATAATCTTTTTCGTCTTAAATTAAGGATTGGCGAAGAGATTATTTCGGAAATTAGTATGAATCGTAAACACTTGAAAGTCCCAAATTCTTCTTCATTCTTGCCGAAAATAAAGACTGTCAAGAGTCAAAAAAATGATGACTTTATTACGTTTAAAAATGATTCTGAAGGTAGTGTCGTTGGTATTGATTCTTTCGACTCGACTAGGAATCATTATGAGGACTATGTTGTAGGCGTTCAACCCTTCAATCGTATACAAACGTTACATGATTCCCTGTTAAACGAAGACTTTCGAAAGAATGATAATAGCAATCATTCAAAACTATTTTTAGGTGTTAAAGATAAAAATTTAACATTTAGTAACAATGAGACTGTATTCTCTATGAAATTATCCTGTGTGCGTCCTTTATCTGAAGACACTATAATAAATAATAACAAAAATTCGAATATATTTAATAATATCGCTTCCATCAGCGAATCTAATACATTCGGTAAAGAAAATAACTTGGCGAAAACACAATCGGTAAAAAGAGTTTGTGACGTTAATCCATCTGTAGAAGCTACTGAAATGCATCTAACTTCGCGTACAGAGAATGAGAACAAAAACAAGAAGAATCATGATGATAATGATGACGAAGAAATACAAGAGATACTTCGTATTACCAGAAGAAGACGGACAAATAATAACAATGAGAATATCAGATACAGATTGGATCCTCCTATAAACGAAGATTCATTGTCATTTGATCCCGAGGAAGAGTTAAGTATCATGAGAGAGAAGAGATACCATTTAGTATATACCATACTATGATATACTATCAAAATTCTTTCCGTCATTTGATTCTATAACAACGAGACTATTCGAGCCTGACAATAGTTCTGAACTTAGGTTTAGTAAAAGCGTCAGGAATAGACAAATTTTAGCCTTAACGTCTATTACCATTTTTGTATTATAAATTCATGTAGCGTGTATTTGTAACGTAACATATACGGGACGTTTTTATTCATTTTTCATAAAGTTATAATTTTTCGATATTACTTTTTTTTAAATTTATATTGGATTAAGTATAACATAATAAGAAAAAAGAAAAAAAAATTATATTTGTAGACAATATTTATAATAAAATAACTTTTATATAAAAATGAAACTCTGTGTTTATAATCTACTTTAATACGGATCGGGTTAATTTGACTCTGCGTTCTCTGATTTAATACTGAAAAAGAAAAAATAAACAAGAAGAAAGTTTATATAATAACGTTAAAATACAAAAATATTTCATTATATATGTATATCATAACGATCATGATTTATTTTTGAACGACGTGGACACTTCAAGTAACAATAAAAAATGAGGAATAAATTTATTATTGACAACAACAACAAAAACACTTGGATCACCTAATTAGAGATACATTCATTATTTATTTATTTGTTCCTTAATCATCTTCATAATCGAAAAATGTTCTTTTTCTCTTCATTTCTTCCAAGACTTGAAAACAATTTTCAATAACGTTCGACGTATTGTCTTCGTTTTTTCTTTCCAAGATAAGTTCCAACGAGCCGTATAAATTCTCTAACCGATTACTTTTCCAATTTTCCGTTGATTGGATGATCCTTTGTAGTAATTCTTGAAGCTGAAGATCAGTTATATTCTCGGTACTTGAAATATTAAACGATGCGCATGACATCTTGGCGCGTTTCGATCCCGATCCTTCTCCCGAGGCACTACATTCTCGTTTAACATTAACTAAAAAATGATTATATAGATATAATTATTGTATATATATAAATATATAAAAAAATAAATTTTTCTAAAAAAAAAAAATCATTTTTCGATTGTAGTTTATTTTTTTTACTTGATTTGGTAGCCGATTGAGTAGATCGAACAACGCCAATTTTATTTCGAGCTTTTGATCTTTTTGTCGTAGTTCCGTCTACCGCGTTTTCTATCGTCGACATAATTTTGTTTATTAATTCGTTACTATACTTAAAAAGAAACAGATGTTATAAAAAAAACTTTAATCAATTCTCTTACGACGTCCACGTTGTCCATTTAAATCCTTGTGCGTGTCCATCTTGGATTTTTTTCCATTTTCGGTTTTCGTTCTTTTCGGACCCATAATTTGTATAAAATCTATTATATTACCAAAACTTTTTTTAATAAAGAATAATTGCTAATAAAAAAAATTAGAAAAATGAAAAGACAGAATAACAAAATATAATACGATAATAAAATGGGTACATGATAATACCTTGCGAGGATCTGCTAGAAGCAGCATCCGATTGTGAGTTTGTAAAAAGCTGTAAGAAGAATGATTTACGTTCTTGCAAGCCAGGTAATGGTACTTCAAATACCTCATCTCGACTTCGATCGAACGAATTTTTGATCTAAACAAATTTACGAAATGTATGAAATATAATTAAACGTAAAAGTTATTAAGCAATAGATAATCTTTGTAATGTTATAATATTACATACTTCTAAAGGTAAATCCTCGTAAGTGGAATTAGCCGTTGTAAGAATCAACATGTAAACTGTATTATCGAGATCTCTCATCAGGGAAGCAAAAACCACGCGTGCTGTTTCGTCAACTAGGTTCCACCATGCAAGAATATCAGGAATATATAACAATGATGGTAAAGTACGACGTGCTCCTTTCACTTTCTATTGACAACAAAATTTATTATACATAAATGTATGTAAATAAATTATTACAAATTATGAAGAAAAATCTAAACGACAAATGGTCGATTAATATTTATCAAAAATCACCTGAATGATCGTTTCTTCAGCAGCTCTGCCAGTTTCTTCGAAGAGAGTTGTCACATCCAAAACGTGACAGGGCAAATGATCTAAATCGTGAAGCAAAGCTGGACCTAAATGCCGAGTATGTGAATCATCTTCGCCGCATAATAAAATTCTAGGACAGGTGGTCGATTTCGAATTGGCTTTGCCGATACTGTACGGATACGGAATAAAGAAAAAAAGAAGAAAAAGAATGTAAGAATGAAAATTATGTTACAACAATTCAACTTACATATCATCTGATGTCAACATTCCCGTTGGACAAAGAATTTGTAACTGAGATTGAATGCTTGACAAATTGCCTCGTAAAAGCGGTTGAATTTTCATCGACAAGGATTTTACTGGTGCTATAACGACTCTGTGAGACGCTGGAACGATATTTTCTTGGGCCTTCAGAAAATCTTGTTTCTCTACCTTCATTCGTTGATTGATTTTGTTTTTTTTTTTTTTAAATGTGGGACATTAATAATATTCGAATAGAATAACCATTCCGAGGATATTACCTTGAGGTGTCGCTCGTTTATGTAATGTCTTGATTTCAACGTATAAATTTCCGGATAATGTCTTCTAACGCAACACATGACAGCTTCAGCACAGAGAGCTTGCAAATCGCTACCACAGTATCCTATCGTTTTCGAGGCCAAATAGGCAAGAAACTTTTGAGGAGGCTTCTGCTTCCAGCTTTTAATGTGAACCTACAGTACCATTGAGTTTTGAAATCAACAAATTTCGTCTAGTACATATTATTTACAAGATAAAAAAATTCATGAAACGAAAAAATCTCTGACAAGAGTCAAACTACCGAAAGTATGTCTTTCCTAGCAGAGTAACAAGGCAAAGGAAAGTAAAGTTCTCGGTCGAATCTTCCTGGTCTCCTTAACGCCGGATCTATTGCGTCGATTCTGTTCGTAGCGCCAATCACTATAATTTCTGAATTGTTCTCCAGGCCATCCATTAGAGCTAAAAGCGTAGTCACCACGCTGGCGTGTACGAAATCCTGACGACTTGATCTTATCGGTGCTAGACCGTCAACTTCATCGAAAAAAATAATACAAGGTTTCGTTTGTTGAGCCTGCGTAACAAGTTTTATTATTAGATTGATCTATCAATTCATAATGATAATATCGCGTATCGTGCTAACCATAGTGAAAATTTTCTCCAGCTTTTTCTCACTTTCGCCAACCCATTTGCTCAAACAATCTGATCCCTTTCGTGATATGAAGGAGACCTTGCGATCAGAAGTACTACATTCTGATGCCAATGCACTGGCTACCAAAGTTTTGCCAGTTCCTGTTGACGAATGAAAATCGATGAAACTAGCCTGTTAATTTAATTCGCATCGTATTTTATTCGATTATTTTCGTTAAAATAAAATCTCATTGAAACTTTACCTGGGGGACCATAGAATAAAAGACCCCTTGGTGGTTTCAAATTGAACTTGGCATAAACATCACCATACATTAGGGGAAACAGGACCATTTCTTTCACTATTCTAATATGTTTTTCCAAACCACCGATATTTGTAAAATCTTTTTTAACCGACATATTTGGAAAAATTGGTGAGTTCGAGTGTCAAATGGAACCTTTTCTTCTTCTTCTTCTTCTGCTTCTTCTTTTCACTTTCTAATATGAGGATAAAAATCGTATTTTTGTATTTATTATTATTATTATTATTAAATACAAGTTTAAATTACACGAAGAAAAATATCGTCTCAGGAACGGTGTACTTTAAAATATATATACATCGTGATTAATATGTATACGTATATATACGTGTTCGAACGAGCACTTTTACTAGAATTTATACATTGTAATTTGTTACGATCGAATTTTTATCGTTGACATTATGACGTTTCGAAGGTTAAATCGATTATAGACATACGAATGTATAGAAGGGATTTTAAGTGAAAGAAGAAAATTACAAATGAACAAAAGAGAGGAGAGAAAAAGAGAGGAAGGGCGGGGGAGATTAATTCGATGCAATGATATGTTACGAAAAACTCTCGGCTTTATTAATTTAATGTTCTTTTTTTATTACTTTTTTTTTTTTTAATTTTTTTTTTTATTATTATTGTTGTTTTGCTTACTACAGCGTATATGACAATAAAATGGTTTACTTATATAATAAAATACATAAGGCAGTGGATGTTGTTCTTGCATCGACACTTTCCCTGTCATTCTTTCCTTTGAGTAATGCGCCAAAACGATACAATATGGTATCGGTTCACAATATATATACGTCTTATTAATTTATTACACGACATTTCGTAAACATATTCATCAATTCGCATAAATATTTCTGTAGCATTATTTTTTACACAAGGAAGTTGATCACAATCTCTTATTACCGTGTTAAGAAACCTATTTTAGTCGTTAGTTTGAAACCATAAGCTCGATCAATTTAATTAAAAGGCAGTGTCAACCACAAATATTACTCTCTCTCTCTCTCTCTCTCTTTTTCCTTGTTGATTTAATTTTTTATTATTATTATTATTATTTTGTTTGTTATATAATATGTATTTTTTCTTTCTTTCGTTCCCTTTTCTCTTTCTCCAAATTACTTCTTTTTTGCAACATTTATGGCGATACAGAGATGATAGAATTCAACGAAACTATGTAGCACCATATAATAAAATAACATAATAATAGTTTTCGATTTTTTTATATTTCAGATAGAATGTCAAGCAAATCCTGTATAAACGAAATAATGTCTTAGGCAATTCGAATAAATTTTCAATTGATATTTTTCTCTTTCGTTTAAGTATATAATTTAGTTAATTCATAAAATAATTAGGCCTTTTTAGGAAAGTATACAAATTGCAATTTCATACTTTAAATACTCGTCTCTTATAAATTCGTATATTATTGTTAATTGAAATATGTAATTCTATCTTCTTTCATATTTAAACAGGCCAGTATAGTTCTTTCAGGATTTACCTAGTTATTTCACGAATTAACGGATTTCACAAAAGTAACGCTACATATATAAAATTTATTATTATTATTATTATTATTATTATTATTATTATTATTCTACTGTTTATATAAAAACATATCGTTGACTGAGAAAGTCTTACTATCGAAGCATTCACTTTGTAAATGTGATCATTCACTGTAAATTACAACTTGGTAGAATTTCGGAAAGTAAATATTTATATATTAATAGTCCACATAAAAATAAAGAAATAGTTTATGTGCTTCAAAATAATTTTTTCTAAACTAGACAAAGTGGATCATTTAAAAGGAAAGTTCGTTTTATATATTATGTGTTGCTGGAATAATAATAAAAAAAAAGTCCTTTTTTTTTTTAAATTCTTCATATACTTCATATCACATACTTATTTCTTCATATCTATTGAAATATTTTAAACACTTTGTTCAGTTTAAAAAAAGTTATTTAGATTTAAATTATGTTAATATATTTTGAAAATCTATTATACAGGCATACTCTAGCATTAGCATAGATCAGTTTAAAAAGCAAGTATTATTTTAATAACAATCGTATGACATATTTTTTTCTGAAATGGACTAATACATTATTTCTTTCGATATAGTAGAACTTTTTTCTCTTGAATCTTACATATAATAAATTGTTTTATAGACTAAAATCAAGATATATTATATATGTGTTAACCTGAGCAAGAGAAAGTATCTTTCCTTCACAGTTCCTTCACCGATTTACTTATACGGACAACAAACAATACTTATTTTTACGCCATTTTAAACGTTAAAAACGGCGGAAGCAAAGTTGTACACCTAATAGTTCCATCGGTTCTATAGAAATTTGTTTTTCTTATGTTAATGTAACAATATTAGTGTATAGAAATAACGAATATTATTAGGAGATTATATTACTCAACTGTTTTATCATAATGTTTTAGTATTTACAGTAAAAATCATTCGCCAAGTGTTAAAGTATAGTTTAGCAGTTAGAAAAATGGAATTAGAAAAACAAAATAAAAAGAATATTAATTATAGAAATATTAATTTTAATAATATATATATGTTACGGTCAATGTAGAAAATACGTGCATTGTATAGAGTGTCCACTAAGATTGGGCAATGTATATTTTGAGTATGTTTTTCGTACATTCGATCTTAAACTCTTGTAAATGAAACAAACCACGACAGGTGTACACAGGTGCATGCACACGTTTCTCAACTGTGTAACTATAAGAACTTAATTTTCCAAACTTCCATGTTGTAAGGACAAAAAGAGGTAATATAAAAAAAAATAACGAATTCAGTTATTATTAATTAAAGATATATTCTGCTATTTTGTTACTATAAAAATCAGCGTGGTGCTTGGTTTCTGTTAAAAGTTTAACTTCACTCTCCCCTGCTCTAAACACCCCCCCCCTTTCCACTGAAGCATATTTTAAAGATTGATCGAAACTTGTTACTGACATTGTGTACAAATTTTTTAATTTCCATGGTTTGTTTTACTTATACGAGCTTACAAAAAATTTCTTCCCCTCGAGCTCTAAAAACAGCCAACTGAAGCATATATTCTACTTTGACCAAAACCATCTGGGCATTGCATAGATTGACCGTAACATATATACATATGGTTTTACTTATAATTAATATACCACTATTAATTATATTATACGTTTTTTTTTTATAAATGTTAATTATTGGCTGAGATCAATCGTTATTATTTACTTTCAGATATTATATAATGATTGTAAAATATATGCACGTGGGTGAGTTCCAAAGATTTTAGCTTAACATAGAGACAATTTTTCTCGGTTAAACTCACTTTTATTTAAAAAAAAAAAACAAATAAAATAAAATAAAAATTATTTTTTAAGGCTCACAACTTTCTTACTCACCCTCGTATATACTTCGTATAAGGAAATTAAATTGCACGAGTACAAGAAATTCAAATTTATATTGTTTCTAATAAAAATAATATATATGAAGTAGAGAATATGATTTATAAAAAAGAAATGTTTGTTTATCATGGAAGATTTATTAAAATTAATTTCTTTCACTATTTTCTATTAAAAATTTTTATAAAAGAATAATAGAAACGTTTCTCGCGAAAGCACAAAAAAAACAGAGTTAATAAAATACTTTTGCAGTAAGATTGAAATAGCAATGTTTTAAAAATGATTTAAGTATGTGTGTATGTTCGTTATATATATTAGTATATAGAATAATTAATATCCAATAAAATAAAATGATAAAGAAAATACTAAGGTTTTGAAAAAACTTGTATGACATTTATTTTTTATGAGAATGTGTGTATGTGTATATATATAAAAATTATTCGTTTGATATTTATTGTTATTTACATTAATTTATCAACAAATAAAATCATGTTTTACCTAACTCTGTTGTTAAAAGAGAAACGCTAGAAAATGAAAGCTTTTTTTCAGATTCAGTCTTTTAAGGTCTATTTGCTAATAAACATTAAGTAAAATATATACTATAATTTCAAATAATGACGACATTCCTGTTCGGAATCTTGAAGATTTCTTATGGTAACATAACTTCACATTTTCTTAGAGAATCAAATACATATAATGCATTTCTCTTTCGCCTTTTAAATTGTCTTGTCTTCGATTTTATATAAATGCACTAAATAACACATTGCAGCATAATAAAGACTTGTCTCATAAATGGTGGCAAAATATTTTAGTTTGAACAACACTTTTTTTTTTTTTAATATATTAAAACTGACACATTTACGCATGTTATCTGGTAACTATCATCTCACAGTAACGATGTAGATCACAACCAGTATATTAACTTATATCGAAGACAATATATGTCGTTATAATATTGATACTTTTTCATATTCCTTTTCGCACATCAAATTATTCTAAATTGATTAGAAGATTTTCCATTGTTTCGACTCTTATACTGTTAACAGGCTAATAATCTATATATTTGATAACTTTGGTTAAAATAAATTGGAAATAATTGAGGATTTCTTTCTTTTCTTGTCATTATACATTATGTTTGTTAAGCACACGTTTATCAAATGTTTTGCCTAAATTATCAAGTTTTGAAGTGATTTTATATTACATGACATTATCACACTAGATACATCGCGTAGATTATACAAATCAAATGATAATAAAATCAATGTTTACACTGCACATACAACTTAAATTGAACCCTCAGCAACACGATGTAATGTAATACAAGATGTAAATGATTTCATTGAATTTCTTGTGACTTTGTGCAATAAGATTTACATTTTATCTAAAACTTCGCATATGTAAACCTTATAAAAATAATATACTATTGACCCTATAAATACAATAAAAGAGAAATTAATTTGCTTATAAATAAATTATGCATAAATAAAATTTAAATACCTTGATAATATCTCAATATATGATTATTGTTTACAATATCTGGAATGTATTTACACTATTTTCTTATATATTTGGATTCTAATTTTTACAAAGTGGAAATTATTTCTTTTATCACGAATCTAATTTGTATGCATTTATTTCAAATATAAAAAGATATATAAGACATTAAAATATTATTAATCTATTGATTCAATAATTTGTAGTATCAAGGATAAAAAAAATATTTTATTTCTTTAACATCTGTAAATGAAAACTTTTTTTTATATTAATATTATCTATATGATTTCTTCTCAGCTAGATTTACCGATTAAATCCACTTTGTAAAATTAATATTTATCAGGAATATATTTATCGGAGCTAAATATTTTATATTGCATGTAACGTAATCTGTGATAGCATATAAAATAATATAAATTTAATTGGTTCTATAATTTGGTAATATATATGTTGTATGACAATTTTACAACATGCTAATGCTACTTTAAATGGAATAGTTTCTTTACAATTCCATGTATTAGCAAAGTTCGCTTAAGTACATAATGTACTAATTTACCATCATCTTTGTATGACCATGTGATTTACATGTTTTTAGTAAAATTTTTATTTTCTTTCTTATTATTATTGTATTGTATAGAAAACTGAATATGTAATTTAAAAAATGTTCGTATTTCTCTTCGTCTCAGTTTATAAAATTGATTTTATAAAATGATTTTATAAAATGATCATTGAAATAAAAACCACGCGCAAGTACATATAATATCAAACAATTAGAAATGAAAACTTTCTAGAAGATTTTAAATTTGACACTAATAATAATAAATAATATAAATAACTGTCAACTATAAAAAGAATTATTTATAAAATTAGGAAAAATGTTTTTATTCTTCAATTTTCTATTGCCTTTTTTTTCTATTTGTTTACAAACAGTCAATGCAATTTGCAAATAATTAAGTTTGTTCGTCTCCTTAAAGAAACATTTCTTTTGAATCTTATCACTAGACTGTGGATTTTTATGTGGAGAAAATTCATCGAAATATGCAAAAAAAATACAAGAAATATACAAACTATACGCTAATACTATGCGGGATATATGCTTATTACATATATATGTGCCGATAATAATGACAGTGGACTAAGTCAAAAAATTTGAAAAATTTATTTTACGATTTATTTTTAATATAAGTAATTTCAATTTGGAATAAATCATAAAATTAATTTTTCGGAATGTTTGACTTGATTCATTGTCATAATTTCTGGCACATATATACCATACAGATTTATAATGATAAATGATTTTATTGTCGTTTGTTTTTTTTTAATTTGCGTTACGATATATAATAATCGTTTTTTCTGTGAAATAGTATCGCTTGTTCAAAAAAATTAATTTCTAAGCCGAAAGGGGTATTACCACGTCATAAGATGTGATCGTACATATTTAAATTTAATCCAGTATCAGACTTGAACATATTCTGGTTCTTCTGAGTAGATGTATCTCATTTCAAATTTATTTAACTACCTAATTTAAAAATAATTATTATTATTTGCTAACGTTAGGAATTTTTGAAAGCTCATTGCCGCCAATACCAAATTTTGCTAATTTAAAAATAATACCATACAGAAATAGTTATTTGTGGTTTCATCTACAGAGATCCAAATATTATGTACTGTAATATCTTTTCAAATGTCTTGAAAATATCATTCCTAAAGATCTCGCAGATAACTTATTCTCAGAGTTGATTCATCTCATCTGGTATATTTTGGCCAGTATATTTTTTGAGAAAATTTCTTCACGTTATATTAGTCATACATTGCAGAGACATTTTTACAACAACCATTACTTGACACATATCCCTAAAAAAATGGATTTTTATTTGGAACTTGCTTCTGAATTTGTTATTAAAGATATCTTCTTCGATAATTAGACTTGTATGATCTATCCATTTGTTAATTATATGTGTTCAGTTAAGAATTAGTCGGTAAGTCTTACACATGGAAGTATCACGAATTAGTTCACGATTCATCAAGTGTTGTAAAAAGAAGTGACAACTGAAGAAAAATATGTAAGATATTCAATGATTTGTCTTTTATGTAAAATATGAAAAACATATGCAATTGCATAAAAATCCGCAGTCTACTCATTATACATTAATTCGACTATTATAATAATGACAATCAGTTGTAAATATTTTATATTTGGCAGTTATAAGAACTGAAAAATGTACGGCACTAAATTTTCATGTGATATTTAAGTTCTGTTCTTTTAGTACCAGTACATAATACGTCTTTTTTTTATGATGAAACTACAGATTAATTTACATTTTCTAATGCGTATTTAGTTGACTAACTTTTTCGTACAAACTTATCTTGTACTCTTCAAACTTTTCCAGTTCCTTGAGTAAGTCCTACAAAATAATATGTACATATAAATTATGTATATATATAATATTTGTAAATTTAATACTAAAATAATTATCATATCTAAAAATATTTCTATATAAACAAAATTTTAATATTACATAAGTAACATTTTAATAAAATAAAAGAATCTATTTTTTGTGTTATAATATATTATATACAGGATGTTCAGTATAACGTTTTAAGCATTTTTTGTGACATTATTGAAAATTTCTCTAAAATCGCGACGACTGTTACACTGAACATTCTGCAAAGATATATAAATATTAGCGTATATATTTACCTTTGGCAGTGATTTCCTATCATAATGATGCGCGTATCTCCCTACACATCTACTTAATTGCACATAAATGTCACACAATACCTCTACGGGAAAATCCTTTGTAACTTCTACAGTGTGTAACCATGCAGACTCAAGTTCATTTTTATCAATAATTACTTTATCATTTTCATCAAATTTTGATAAACTAGAATCGCTCTCAATTGCAAATGATAATTCATCTAAACTTTCTCGCCTGGACGATGAACTTGAAACATCATTTCCAATATTTTTATCATCCTCTATCAAAGATATTTCAACTCTTTCAAAATCATGAATTCGTTGTTCTACCGTATTATCATTATGATTTATGTGAATATCCTTGTAGTTTTCGTTTTGAGAATCATTCTCAGAATCAGTGTTATCAAATAATGGTACATGACCGTTTAGAACACTATTTGCTTCTGTTTCAAATTCTTGAAATTTCTCTAAATCTATACCAACTGTGGTTTCATTGGTTAGACATACCTTGTTACTTATTTCAGATATACTATCATCAAAGCTAATTTTTTTTTTCTTTTGCACTTTCTTTACGTAACCTCTAGCCCAAGCAGGAATTTTACGTTTTCTGGAATGACTAAATCTTTTCCCATTCACGGATAGTGTATTATTTACTACTAATTCAGTATCTTTCTTATCATTTTTTTCATTTGGTAATGTAATTTCTGTTTTTGTATTTTTATTTTGTGTTTCGTCATTATGGCCAGTTTCAATAATTTTACGACTTTTAGATATTTCACGACACTTATCTTCAAAATCAGAATCTAATTCAGCCTTTATTAGTGCATATGCATTATCGCGTAGAGAACAGGCACGATGTCTAATCAGTTTATCTGCTGGATCTCTGTGTGAAAAGGAAAAAATAATATAATTAACATACAATAAATTACATATAAAATTCAATAGGATCAATGAAAAGCAGATCTAATGTGAGTGGTTTTCAATAAGTGCTCTGTAGAATAGCAAATAAATACAAAATATAGGTGTTTATTAAAATTAAAAATGAGAGGTGTGTTAAATAAATTGAAAACCACTTTAACTACAGAGCAACAACAGCAATGGATAATCAAGAACTACCTCTTCAATATCCCAAGGGAGGGCCTATCACGCAAGCTGACATGAAAACATACAACATGAACGTCAATACGAATTTTTGGCAATATGCCCAATGACATACGCAAATCACATTATTCATTCTTTTAATAAACACAAAGAAATATCTTATCTATTTTTTATATTATTTTATCACTAAATATATAACATGAATTAATAAATGTTATAAACTCACTGTATACTTTTAAATTACGAGAAAAAATATTTGTTAAATATATTATTGTTTTCTTTTTTAATTTATTTTTTAATTATATATGTATATATACTAACCTATCTGGATTATATTCCAATGCATTTTTACAAATGAGATCAATATCATCAAGAAAATCTCGAGCACAGAGGTAACAATGCATATCAATTTTAGTCATCATAGTCTCCAAATCCATAGGTTGCTTTATTATCATATTATAATCGGGTACTTCTTCGGTATCTACAGGTTTCGTGAACATGAAAAATCTGTAAAAAAAAAAAAATATAATAGATATGATTATATTGTATATTTTTTTTTATATTGTTCTTATACATGTTCACACGTGAATATATATATAATATAATTTTATATATTAAAAACTTATATATATATATATATAAATACATACTGCCGATTCCTAGCAAGCTTAGCACATATTTCCCTCAAGAAAATTCGAAGTTCTCTTAAAGATACTTCTTCTTTTTCAAACAACCTTTTCTTTTCTTCATTGGATAATTTCTTTGGCATTGGATCCGGAGCCAAAGGAAGTTCCTCTAATACTTGAACTTTGTTATTCTTAGTTTGTGGTTGTTTTAAACTTTGAATCATAAATATGGGTTTGAAAAATTTTGATCTTTGTTCTGAATTGGGAATTTTCATAGTATATACTTCGCCACGAAGTTCACTGAAAAGATTTTTTAATTGCATAGGAAGATCCTGATATGTTTCGTCACTAGTTGCAAGAATCAATATAGGTAATGAAGTATCTAGTGCTGCAATACGACACAAAAAAACAGCTTTTACAGTCTCTGGAACAAGTGGCCACCATTGATCAATGGAACGTATATAAATAATGGACGGTACATTTCTGGTAGCTTCATTAAACACCTACCATAAAAAGTAAAAAAAAAATATATATAAATATATATAAAAATATTTTTGTTATATTTATATAATAACAGATTTAATTAATAACTGACCTGTACACAGGTTTCTTCTGGAGATCGTGCACTTTCTGCAAAAAGTGTACTAACATCTAATGTTTGTACTGGTAAATGTTCCATGTGATGTAATAAAGCTTGTGCTAAATGAGGTCCTTGACCTTTAGATAGATTGCCACCAGAAACTAATAATCTTGGACGATGTATTCCTTTAGTAACTTTCACTCTAAAACGAAGAATATTTATTTTAAATAGTAAATACTATTATGCACTTTTTTTAAAAGTATAGCATTTTGTAAAAATATTTCTTACTTTGCCATAGCAGGATTAACACCTTGAGGAAATGTTCCTTTTACTAGACCAATCAATTCTTCCAATGAAGGACCTAATAGAGGCTCCATAAAAGGCTGTAATTTTCTGCCTGCACAAGGAGTTACTCTCTGTGATGATGGAATTAGAATAGAACTTGCTTGCATAAAATCTTGTTTTTTCACCTGCAAAACGCATGTATGAGTTATTACAAAGATTATCTTATATATTTCTCTATATAAATTATTAAAAAACATACTTCTACTCGTTGAGGATCCAAAAGTAATCTATTGCTAGTTGTGTAAATTTGTGGATATGTTCTTCTTAATCCTTGTAATACTGCTTCAGTGCATAAAGCTCTTAAATCCGAACCACAATAACCAGTTGATTTTTCAGCTAATATTTCTAACAATTGTTCACTTGGTGGATTTTTCCATTTATTAACATGAATTTTCAAAATTTCTAATCTTTCTTTCATTGCAGGTAAAGGAAAGAATAATTCACGATCAAAACGGCCAGGTCTTCGTAGTGCAGGATCAATTGCATCTACTCTATTTGTTGCACCAATTACTATAACCTTTATTACAAAAAAAAAGAAATTAATTAATTTAACAGCAAATGAGTGCATCCGTGTATATGAATATATTTATCTTACTTCTCCTCTATCACTAAGACCATCCATAAGTGCTAAAAGGGTAGATACAATGCTAGCATGAATTTGATCTTGCTTGGTACTTCTGACAGGTGCAAGACCATCAATTTCATCGAAAAATATAATGGACGGTTTCATTTGTTGAGCCTGCTCAAACAACAATCTTAATTGTCGTTCTGACTCCCCAACCCACTTTGATAAGCAATCTGCTCCTTTTCTCATAAAAAAGGCCATTCTTCTACTACCTTGACTACATTCATTTGCTAATGCTCTAGCTATTAATGTTTTCCCAGTTCCTGTAACAAAAAGTGATTAATATAATACTTCAATAAAATTATTTAAAAAATAATTGTAATTTTTTTAATATTTAAATACAAAATATAAATTTACCTGGTGGGCCATGAAAGAGGACACCTTTTGGAGATGTGATATGATATCTTTCAAAAACTTCTGGATACATCATAGGAAAAACAACCATTTCCTTAAGGCAATGAATGTGTGATTCTAAGCCACCAACATCACTGAACCTAATATTTGTATCTAATGTAATAGGATTTATATCTGCTTTACGATCTGGAGGACCGCCTTGGGGTATTGCTGATTGCCTAATGAATTAAGTAATGAACTAATAAAAAAAGTTTGATATAACTATTAACATCTATTATATTTGTTTCTCTCTAACTAACCTTGCTTTTTTCCCTTTCTTTTTATCATATCGTTGCGGTTCTGAATCACTAGAATCACTAGAACTTGTACTTTTGCTTCTGTGCTTTCGCCTCCTCATAGAATTGCTTAGCACACTCCGAAGAGCTCTTATAGATCGTCTAACAGGCTCAACGTTGGCTTGAAATCTATCTACAGTTGGCTTTTTTTGACGTAAACTGTATTTTCTAGGGCCAGGCGAATCTGATGATTCACTTAAATCACTATCTACGACTATAAAAGAAAATAATATAATTATGATTTATATATATTTCCACACAATATAATAATATAATATAATAAATGGATACCAGACCTGCAAGCTTCTTACCCCTTGGTAATTGTCGTTGGGTAGTTCTTCTAGTGCGCTTAATACGTGTATACATGTCTTCGTATCCCTGCACACATTAAATGTTGAATATAAATACTTACATAAATATTATGTCGACAGCTTTAATATGATTGTATACTAATCTTATTTTATATATTAATCTTACTTTCTATACTTTTTTTTTTACTTGATATAAATGTAAATCTAAAAAAATTAAAACTCTTTAATTGCTTACGCCCTCATTCTCAGAATTATCATTGTTTTCTTGTTTTTCACTCCCATGTGAACTATCTTCAGGTTCATCTTGTTCCATTTTTGATTTTACAGATTTATCTAAAGAATTGCCGCATAGCCTAGTTACAGGTCCTTCTCTAAGCCTACATGGACTACTAGATTTACTTGTTCTGTCGAACAAAATTTTTTTAAAATAATAATTAATCTATATTAGTGTTAATATAGATATAGATATAGTGTAATATGATGAAAATGTTCACCTTGTATCCTTTTCTTCATTTGACGTTCTTACTTCAGACTTACTTCTTGTTTCTAATTTATCTTTATGTTCTCTTTCTGGCTTTTCTCGCCCTTGCCTATCTTTATGTTCTCTAATATCTTTATCTTGTTCGGATTTTTCTCTAAGATCACGATCAGATCGTCCCCTAAGTTCTCTACTACTTTGATGATCATGATCAGGCCTATCTCTAATATGTCTGTTTGAATTTTTATTAGGAGGATGATTTTCACGTGATCTTAAAGGCATACGATCGCGCAATTCACGCTTTCTATCAGGTACTTCATCTACCATTTCTTTATCAGATGAAGATCCATGTTGTTGAAACATAGGATATCCTTTTAAAGTTTGTGTTCCTATAACATGATTTATGAATAAAAATTATCTATGATCTATGCTGTTATATTAAATCACAGTAATATATTTTATCGAATTAAGAATGTATTAACATTCTTTACCTAAAATCCAACTAGTATTGAGGTTGTCATAGGTTTGCATTCTATTACGTGTACTACGTCGTACACTTAAATTACTTCTAGTAATATGCGTGCTAGTACTACCATGGGAGTGAGATCGTAAAGTACGTAGTGTTTTTGCCCTTCTAACCGAATTGCTATGGGGATTGAATATATCTTCCTCGGTATCCATTGAATCCAAGGTAACATCATCATCTGACATAATCTGTTCAATACTTTTAATCTTCAATTAAATATATCGATATATTATTGAGTAAAGTTTACTATAATCTTTTCTATTTAATTTAAAATATATTGCATCATATAAAAATAAAAATGCTTTCTTTTTATTAATATAAAAAATAACATTCACAGATATATATAAAGAAAACTTCTACGTGAGATTATTACTGAAGTAAAAAAAAAGCTTATAGTTTATTATTGAGCAACAGACCCATTTAATTATATTTGCAAATTACTCATAAATAAATAAGAATAAAAATTTGAAACGCATCAAATTTAACATTATTAAAAAAGTAATTTTAAATAAAATCACATAAAAACAAGCTATATAAGAGAGATTCTTAATGAAATAAAAATAAACAAAATATTTGGATGTCCATTTTAATTTTGTACATACATAGGTATATAAAACCGTGTAACTCTTTTTGAAGGATATTTTTTCATTAATCTATAAATAATAAATATATGAGAAACAAAGAAAATTACCTTCATTGGGTTAAATCTTGCCAATATAGAAATTTCTCGTAAAGAAACTACAAAGGCCCGTCATATGTTTCTCTTGAATATAATAACTATACTCTTCGAATGATTTGCTTAACACGCAAACTAATAATTTTTCGAATGGCGACAGGCAATAGAATATTACTTAAATTAGCTCTTCTATTTTTTATATATATAAAACCGAACATAATTCACAAATAAGCATTACAACGAACGTCTCAGTAAGGCAAATTGAAACTTTTCTCCAGGGTCGCTTCCTATTGCAAAATATGTATTCGAAACGGGTACACATATATACAAACGAGACCGAGCTTAGGCTGAAATTAGTTACTAAAGGACTACAAGCATTCCATTACAAACCTAACTTCACTTACCAGAGTTCGCCTTAAAAGATGCAATATTATAGATGTACGATCGAATAAAGCAATGAAGATAATATGCAGTGTATGAAAGAAAAAGAGAAATTTCAGATCTTAGTTTGATTAATGTCCGCCAGGGGGTACTTAAGAGCTGAAATCAATTTACACGTTGACTGATCTTGATTACTCTGCTTGTTCTAAATTGCTTATATAATAATTTTTTATTAATATTATTTATTTTATTCATTAATTATGTTACTATTTATATTGTATTACATGCTATTGATATTAATATAAATTATAAACTATTCAATATTCAATTTGTTGTAAGTATAGACAATTGAGATGCTAAATGTCCCAATAAAAAATATAATAATATGCCATTAATTAACTATATTCATTTATTATAACCAAAAATATATTGAAACATAATGATTCATTCCTAGATTCTAAGATTGAAGATCCTCTTATTATGTATGTTTTCATATACACTCTGTGTAATTATAAATGTTATATGTCATTAGCTTAGCATCATTTATACATTTATTTACATATATAAAATAAATTAAAAACATAGAATTGGGAGAAGGGATTTAATCAAAAAGTTTAATTTTATTGTTTTTATTTAAATCTCAATAAAATAAAATAAAATAAACAAATGAAACAATTATTAGATTGAGAAATATTCATAGAAAAACTAAATGTCTATTCTTTACATAGACAGTATCATTATGCATGAATTTTATACTTTAGCAGTAGAATAACATAGAAATATAAAAATAGACATATTTTCAAATATGGATTTAATTTGTGCTTATATGCAAATAGCTGATTCTATTGTTTTATACTTGTACAATAGCTTTACCAATGTTTTGCCCTTTTAACATTCCAGAAAATGCATTAAACATATTTTCGAAGCCTTTTGTAATTGTTTCTTTATATTCGAGTTTGCCTTCATTAATCCATTGCAAATTCTGTTTTATCCCTTCTTGCAATTGATCATTCCAACGTGTAACTAAGAATCCTTCCATCTTCAGTTGATTGAAAATCATAGCTGGTTGTAATAATACACATTTAGGTAGAGAGGAGTGATTTGTATTATATGACGAAATACTGCCGCACACTGCTATTCGACCAAAGGTATTCATTTGGTAAATAATAGTGCTAGAAATATCTCCTCCAACCTGTATAATTAAATGATCAGTTATATATATATATATATATAAATTCATAAAATACATATAAAAAAAAAATTAAAAAATGTTCTATTCCAACATACATTATCAAAATACACATCAATACCCTTTGGAGCAGTTTTCTTTAATTCCAAAGATACATCTTGCTTTTTGTAATTTATGGCACTATCAAAGCCTAATTCATTTACTAGCCAGTTACATTTCTCATCCGAACCAGCAATTCCAATAACATTAAGACCAAGAACTTTCTTCGCTATTTGACCTACGTGAGATCCAACCGCACCAGCAGCTCCACTTACAACAAGTGTTTCACCACGTTTTGGTGAACAAAGTTTCATTAGACCAAAGTATGCTGTATTTCTGTAATAAATGTGTTATATACATTTATTAATTCAAAATATTCAATTATTGTGACAATTCTAAGAAAATGATTTCTCGATACCCTGGCATTCCTAAAACTCCTAAACTTAAAGAAGGAGATAAATCTCCTATGTTTGGTAATAAATATGGCTTTTGACCAGTAAGTTCTAATTTTGGAGGTATTTGTGGATTAACTATTGTATGAGTTCTCCATCCAAAATATCCAACTATTCTTTTACCAACTGGATAATCTGGATTCTTTGATTCAATTATTTTACCGACTTGAGAACCTATCATAGTAATACCAAGTGGAAACTGTACTACATATGGTCTCATGTAGGGGTCAACAGATAAATATTCTGCTTCCACAAGAAATTCTGCAAATTTATCAAAAAATTTATGTTGTATAAATTCTTAAAAAAAATGAAGATATTCTTATAATTACTTATAATATCTTCATGCTTGTTTTTATAATCCATATCATTCAAAAGTGAAAAATATAAATTAAAAAAGTTTATCTATAGTCCGGTCAATTTAGACATAAAAAGAGTGGTCAAATAACAAAAATTGCCGGAAAGCCAAATTTTGGTGGAGAGCTGTAGTTTACCATTACAAATAAAGTCTGAAAAGTCCCCATCGATTCTATGTGTGCGTTAAAAGTTATTCAAGATCAAAGGTCGAAATTTTAGGTTTTTTGGATTTTGCTCAAAAACTTCAA